TATGGATATCCGGATCGCATCCTAGTAGTAACGATTTATAATCACTACTTTAATCAGTAATATATATATATATATCCGGATATCTGCAGTTATCCACAAACATTGCGGATACTTACGGATACCTGCGGATGCCCACAGATACCTGTCGGATTATCCTTTTTAAAACAAACGGATAAAGGCTATTACCCATAAGCCGTTTATGGTATCCGGATATGTGCTAACTATACAGATATCCGGATAAGCAGATAACGGTTCCGACCTCTAAATAATTCTCAGGTGTTTACCGAAGATTTTTTTGATGAAAAGCAAATCATTAATATTGTGTTGGATAAATAGTGGAAGTTGAAAGAAGGCAATAAGAGTGATACTGACAAGAAACCACCCGAAATTCCTATAATAGAAGGCTTAAATGGGCTAGAAAAATTTATTAGTTTTGTTAAGCAGCAAGAAAGTTGTGATTTTAATGTGGAGGATTTAAAAATTTTTAGGAAATATTTATCATTCATAAGAAGAAAATATATAGAATCAATGAAACAAAAACCTATCACTGATTTTTTTTCTGTTTATAGTGAATAATGAGATTTCAGAGGGGTTTTTTTCCTATGATTTTTTTTCATTTTTTATTCTGTTTATACTATTAAAATTAAATAAAAAAATAACGGCATTTAATCCTTAAAAATAAAATAATGAACACCGTGTAAATGCTATATAAAGAAAGAGACAAATAGGTAATATAAATCACTACAAATATATAAGGCGAAATTGCCTCGAAGAAGTAGCTGTTATTCAATAATTATGGTTGTAATTAGTATAGCTAGTATATGGTTAGAATATAAGTATAAATAACTTTGTGATGAGTGGATTCAGAACCAACTTTAAGTTAGTTCAAAATTCTTTAAACAATTTAAGTGAATTTATAATTTTATTTTGACTTAAATGTATTCAGAATCAACTTAAATTGATGTCTATATAAAGATTTATACTAATAGTAAATATACCGATACAGTTTAAATTATGAGTGATACAAAATAAGACTTGTAAGTATCATTAACTGTCAATATTTATATAATTACAAGGACAACAGTATTCAAAATAGAGATGCCTCATATAAGGTACAAAATTCTCACACCCGTTACTTCATGCACTTTGCGCAAGGTAAATCGTTCGATTAACACGTAAAATCATACGTTGTAATCTTGTGTAAATAAATACTAAGCTTACCTCACATAAGGTACATCTCTAATTTATTTCATTATATGAATAATTACTATATGTTATGGCAGAAACTAGTACTAGTGGTTATATCTAACCGGTTAACCACCAGATTATAAAATTGGTTACAGCTGTTTTTACTGTTTTCATTATTTTTGAGACATCTGGTGAAAAATTAATTGAATGATTATTGGGCGAGCATGTATTCAAGCGAGAACTTAATATTTGAATATGTTAATATTGTAATACCATCGCTGCATATTAAAAATATTTGTGAATCACGCCTTAGACTAAAAGTTTATCACTACTGAATCAAAAACTTATCGAATCGGCCAAACAAACATTCAGTCAATTTTTTACCAAATGTCTCAAAATTTATGAGAGCACTGTAATATTTAAAATATCTGGCTTAAAATAATATAATACATATATGAGTAGTGCCAAAGAAAAATATGACTTCGATCATATATAATTGCAGTCATATTTTTACTTGATGTTATTTATATAATATTTATATCAGATAAATACATTTACTTAATATAGTAATTATATAAAGATTTCTTGCATCACTGACAATTATTCCACTGATAGCCTATTTAGTTGACATCATATATTATAGTTTCGCTTGACACGGTGTTAACTAAACAAGCTGTTGATAAAATAATTGTCAGTAAGGTAAAAAAGAATGGCTAATTACATTAATTATATTGCAATTAAAATTCACTTATAAGGCCTATTATTGTAGAATATTAGGCAATTTTAATAATCTAAATATTAATCAAATAGCTCTTAATAAATTTTTAATTACTTTTTTAAAATCATATTATATATATTATTTTATGTGATTGTAAAGAAGTAACTCTATTTAATCACCTCTTTATATAATCACCAAAAAGTGCTGGACCAATTAGGTGATTGTATAGAAGTATGACTGTAATAAAAGAATATCTAAAATATCTACAGTAAAAATTTGAGCCAATTTGAATTAATAGTTATTAAAATATATATAATATAATAAGAAAAACTAAAAAGTGTATCTATGTACTGAGTGCACTCCTGTTTTTAATAGTAAATAAGCAAATAAATAGTAGAGTTAGGGTTAGTATTAGTGTTCAGGTTAGGGTTTAAGTTAAAGTAGGCTAAAATTGCAAGAGGAGTATTTTTACGGCAGAGTTATTCTAGTAAAATTATGAGATACAGAAGATACACTGAATACACAAACTATTTTTTAACAAAATTCATAATAATAGCATATTTGTTTAATAATCAATTAGAACACTAATATTTATTACGTAATATTTATTTACTATAAGAGCTCTCCTCCCTCCACATAAAATTCAATATAATTGGCCAATTTAAAAAGAATTTGATTATACTAATTTCTTTATATAATATAAGATATTAATATAGTATATGCTTAACTTCTACTCCTAAAATATTATACTAGAAACTGGAAACTGGAGTGAGTTCAAAACATAAATTTTAAATAAATATATTAAAAAAACAATAACTTTAAAACTACTACTATATTTATTTAAAATATAGTATACAAATTTCAACTTCTAATAAAAGTTGTAGAGAGGTGTTTTGTGATCAAAATAATAGTTAAAATGTTAAAATCAAACCAGTAGATCACAAGATATAAGTATTTTTTGTATTCACAATTAAATGTTTTTTCTTTATATAAATAAGAAAAAAGCATATAGTCGTGAAGACTAAAATACTTATATATTGTGATTTACTGGGCTGATTTTAATGTTTTAACTGCCATTTTGATTGCAAAATACTTCTCTACAACTTTACTTATAAACTGAAAAGAAATTGACTAAGCAAAATTTTAAAAATCACAATATTTTTTATAATTTATTAATAAAATAGAAAATATTAAAATCTACAAAATTGTACTAATTAAACCTACCTTCATATTTTAAGTAAACTTATTTTATATATAAAAATATATCATATCAGTATATGTTTACATTATTATTTTAAATTTTAAAAGAAAAGATGCTTAATTTTGAATTTTTAATCAAAAATCTAAAATTAAGCATCTTTTTTCTTAAAATTTAAAATTATAAAATAAACATATACCAATATAGCATGGTGGACATTTGTTTTAATTGGTTAAAAAATGTAAACAAAAAAGTAAACAAATAAACAATGTGCATAATGTAGATCATTGTATAAATTTAGATATTTATAATACTGTAAAGTAAAATTTGATATTAGTTTAAAACAGCGTGAAAAATCTATTCTAATTTTTCCAGTTTTTCTAGTTAATATCTAATAAGACCGGTAAATTTTTTTAATCCTGAAAATTTTTCAGTTATGTTATAGCAAATTTCTAGAATATTTTACAAGTGCCGGAAATTTAATTTAGCTAATTACTGTGAAAAAACCAATTACCGAAATTTTCATTTTTTACCAGATTTTTTCCAAAATTTTTCAAGAATTTTTTTCCACACTGGTTTAAAGCAAAGTTTTTTTTTTTACCAAGTTAACTTTTCTTCAAGCTTTAAGAAAAGTTGTAGAGCTCATTTTTGCGGTTCTAATGGTGGCAAGATTATCAAAATTGGCCTAGTGATTCTTGAGTTTTCATTCTTTTTATATATAAAACTTTTTAAAAAAGTTTTATATATGTAAAAAAAGAAAAATTATAATATTTCAAGAACTACTAGGCCAATTTAGATGATTTTACCACCATTAGAACCACAAAAATGAGCTCTACAACTCTATTAAGCTTAAAAAAAGATTAACTTAGTAAAAAAAAAACTTTGTTTTAAACTAATGCCAGATTATACTCTATTATATTATAAAACTTATATAAAAAACTTATTTTAATTTTATAGTACTAATATAGCAATAGTGCTAATTTTTATCTGAATTAGATTAATATATTTTTTTAATAAATAAAATTTTAAATAAGTTTTTAATATATTATATTTTATATATTATTGTATAAATAGTTAATAATATTAAAGTATTTATTATATATAAAAATCATATAATTTATTGCACTTTTTTAAATTAATTTATTTAATTTATAGAAATATTTTTTTAATTTTTTTATTTATATTATGAAATTTATTATATATAATAAAGAATAAATATATACTCTGCGCCGTGCGCTATACTTATAGATAGCATCTATAGTTATTATATCAAATAAAGTTACAAACAAATAAGTTTCAAGTAATATATTAATATATCACATCTAATTAAAAATATAAATAAAATTGTATACGAAATTATTATATCTTGCATATTACAAATCAAATAATAAAATTACAAACAAAGATTTATATAGTAAATTAATACATCACATCCAATAATAAATATAAATAAAACTGTATGTGAAATTATTATATTGTGCACCTTACAAATCAAATAAAAAACAAACAATTGTAATATAATTGTAAGTCATCTTTGAAAATCGCTTTTATTTCAGTCTATCGTACAATTTTTAATGTTACAAAACTCTAATAACAAGCAAACTGATTATGAATATCGAATTAACACCAATAGAGCTAATTAGAGAATCTAATTGAAATGTAGCAATACAGTAAGTAAAAATTAAAAAATAAAGATGTAAGTAAATATAACTATTCTTATCTTGAAATTAAATTATATATAGTCACCTTTGAGGCATATGAAGAAATAGAGAAAGAAAATCATTATATGGCTATAAATAACACTCAATCTGAGGACCAAAATGATAAAATAAAAGAAGTAAATAATAATATAGTTATTAGAAAGCCAAGAATTACAAATATAGAAGTCACAAAAGGTATCTACCTTACTATTCTTGGATGTATATTATTTAGACTATGTACTAACTTAATACTATATATCAGATACTGTGTTATCAAAAGACATTTCAAAAGACCAAGAATTTGACACCTGGGAGCAAGTAGAAGTATTTTTTGCAGAATATGGGGCATGAAACAGATTTGGTATTAATAAATATAGAATAGAACATAGTAAGACTAGCAAAATTCAAAAAAGAACCTTTAATTATGAGTTTGGTGGAAAATACAAAGTAAAGAAAGATCCAATTGCAGTACAAAAAGAAACACAGTATCATATGAAAACAAAAAAGTTAGAATGTTCATGACACTGTAATCTCTCTTTAGATAAATCCAAGTCTCGAATAGGAATTACTATATTTATTAATAAGCATAATTATAAGCTTTTAGTAGAAACTCGGAAATTTGAAATTAAGTTTAGATCATTAAGTGAAGATGCCTTAAAAGAAATAGAAATAATAACAAAACATGTAAATCTTTTAATTATCGTTCAAAAAAGTCTCCTTAAAGCCCACTTTCCTGATTTAAACTTTCAAGACACCGACCTAGATAATGCAA